TTATTCATCCCCACACTCAATAAAACGCCATCCTCGTAGCTGGAAATAATCGTGCACTTCGCACTCACAAAAAAAAAGGAAGAAAAGCGATCGAATGTAGAATCGTTGATTAGCACAAAAAGGTTAAAGATCGCAGCAGTTTCCTTGCTAAAAGTTGCTATGGTTATTCGGTTGACGTAGGGCTGAAACAAATTCCCCCGTGCCCTACATCCCACGCATACATTTCGCGTCGATTCTCAGACATTCCAACGTTCAAACAAAGCTAAGAGGATGCGAAAAGTTTATGCTAAAAGTACTCAAAATTCTATGGATCCTCGAACAGATCCCGAATCCGAGCACCTGTACGGCGATATTTCGGATGCTGTCTCACAGGTGTTAATATCCAGATGATCCAGAGCGATCTTGCGCAAAAAGGGTATACAGTCTCATTTCTTCATATTTTCACATTATACCTGCGTCAGCGAACACGAGAGCCCGAAGTTGTCGGAAAGCCGCTGCACATCACGGCTACCGCGCACCAAACAAACTCGCATCCGCCAGCTCTGGGCGCTGCCATCTTACCGGTGACGTCACGGCTCTTGGGAGGTCACGTGACGAGTAGTCACATTTGCGTAAAACATGGCGGCAACCGGGGAGGTGCCACTTCCGAACTTCCGGTTTATCACTGTAAGCCCCTCTACCTCGTTGGCGCTCCTCTCCCATATCCTCTCCCGGCCAATCGGTGGAGGGCGCCAGTTCCGGCTCCGCGTTTCTTCGCCGTCTGGCGCAGATGTTCTCCGCTCGCCCGAAAGCGCACCGCCCTAACCAACGCGCGTGCTTGTGACTCAGAAAGCGCACCGGAAACAGCAAAAAACGTCACAAAATACGCAATTTCCGGGAAGCGCACGACCTATTCGCGCACAAAAACGCGTTGGTTTGGATCGCGCTTTAGGAGACACACGCTGCCTGAGGTCACACGACCGTGGCAGATAACCACAAAATAACAAAATACCCCGGCAACCGACAAGAGGACACTAGCTTGTAGGACACCACAAAGCCCCGGAAGACTCAAAGCACACGCTAATGCCAAGCAACCAACACTAAGAAACCAACAAGATAAGCACTTCGACCACACCCTTTCCACCCGGCCGGCGGCCGACCTGAGAACACTTAGTCCAAAGAACCTAAAACATCTAACTGCTAGGAAACGTTTTAACTGGGTTGATTGGTGCAAGGAACATATTGCTGAAACAACCACTATTCCAGTAAATCATCGACGACTCCTTTACAAGACGTTTATAGGCGTCTCTTTACTTGCACAAAATCTCCGTGTCTCGCCCCACAACACTATATTCAACGCATTGGAACATGTGTTTGGCCAAGCCAAATTGCAAGCCTCTTTGCAATTTCGAACAGCTCTGTTGCGTTCACACAGTCGGTCATTGATAAACCTAGCAGATTGACCAACATAGCAAGAACCACACTTTACAGGAATTTTGTAAACTCCACCAAAATTACGACTCACCGAAGGTTCCCTATTATCCCTACTATAGAGACTCACTCCTCTCCGCCAAAAAAGAGTTAATGTGTTCAGACGAAAATCGGGTTGAAACATTACAGTAATACCGAACTTCCCTTGCAATGGCATTAAGGTTTGAGACACCTCATGGAAATACGGAAGAGAGACAATCTTTTTCTTATCAATTCGTCAGCTCTTCTGACATCACTGCGCTTTACCAACCGAAGTAAATAGAAGATATAAAATCCTTGCCATAACCAGCCAAGGACAGTCTACGTAGCTGTTTTCCCAACCCAAGATATGAAAATTGCAAGTGTTCCAGGCTACTCCATAGATGGCGCTGACGCCAGTACAAACACTACCATGTCAACTTTTTGTTGGATTAAAAGATAAATGTACTGCAGCGAAAAGTTATTTTTTTGGCGACAGCAAATATTCGGTTAACGAAACAGATCTGGGCAACGTTAGGGACTTTTAAGTGCGCGGACTTTTCGGTTCAGTCAGTTCGGTGCACGAACTTTTCGGTGTAGGACATTTCAGTGTACATTCCTAGGGCAATTCCATCAGACTTGACCAAAGAGCCAATTACTTCCTAGAACAGTTGAGAAGTTTGCTTTGTCAGATACAGTATTTCAGCTAGAGCTAATACTCTCCGAACCGGTGGATTTCCTTCGGACTCTAGAAGAAGTTAATGCTAGATGTGTGCGAACAGGGAAATTCCAGCTCGAATCGAGTTAGGATCTACTAGTGCCTAATATTGGTCAAAAAGCAAAATGACAAATCAATCAAAAATAACAAAACTTTCTTTTCGTAAAAAAATTAGCATACATAAAAAGGCGTGCTTGTTTGTTCTGCTACAGGTTACGCAGAACAAAGATGCTTGCACGAATAAAACGGTTTAATGACCACACTTAGACGGCAACGTTAAAGGAAAGCTCAAGATGTGCATAAAAACAGGAGTTATATGTGAATTCTAGCGTATTTCTGTCCCGTGAGTTTGAATATCACGAGCATTTGATGCGAACACATCAATAGGTGCGAGAAAGCCCGAAAACACACCGCTGGGCGTGACATCCTACCCAGAGGCTTCAACTGCCTTGCGCTTGCTGCTCGCAACGGAATGCTTGCAGCGTTTTTGACTCCTTGGTTCAGACGTGTGGAAGGCACGGAGATGCTGATTTATCTGCATAATACGTCAAGAGCTTCGAGGCTATTTGAAAGTGTTCTTCTGGCTACTTGGCACACCAATCGGACAGATATTTTTGATATTCGTAATCCTCGACGCCGTAGGAACACGGCTTAAGCGTTTCTTCTAAAATACAGAAGCGCTTCAGCTTCCCTTTAAGACAGAGCTGAAGTGTTCAAATCGGGTGACATCTTGCGTTACCTATCATGGCACCTCGTTCGACGCCGCGGGGAGCGACGCGTAAGCGGATGGGGCCGGTTCAGTTATAGCCGCTATTTGTGTTTTTATATTAATTTGCTATACTGTAGGCGTATAAACTTATAATGGGAATGGAATACCGAGAGGTGCGCTGCAAGTGACGCAAAATTATTGAATTCAAAATGGCAACACGCGTAGTTTTCGGGTTTTCGTCAAGCCCATTCAAGAAACTGGCAGCATCACTGCTTTGTTCGAGGAACACGAAATACGAGACACTTTTTGCCGAAATGGTTTGTTAGTCACGGCTTTTGAATGCAGGCTTGATTTAGATAAAAAAACAGGTCAGTCACGACTGTTTTACCGTTTGAACAGCGTTCCTCAATAAACCCAGATTTTTTCCTGTGGTACTGATATTCCATGTGTCTCAATATTCGAAAACCCAGATTCTAAGAATCTGGGTTTTCGAATATTGAATCGAATTATTCGGACAATCATCAGTCGGTTTTATAAATCAATATTCAACTAATCGCCCACCCCTAGTTTACCCATAGCTTTTGCCGCACGACAATATTCTAAATGCATGAATATACTATAGTCACAATTTATTCATTAAATGCAAGTAAAAGTTTCTGTATCCTACATAAGATCCACGCTTTTTTTTTTTTACATCTATGCTGCATCGAATGTACCACCAACGGTGGCACTCAGACCACGGGCTAATAAAGGGCATCGCGAAAGTTAAACTTAACAATTAGATAAATTGTGGGAACGCGCATATACCTTTAGCGATGTATAGCGTATTTGACAATGATTTAGCTCCATTTGTAATTGAGGTGAATATTCTTGTGCACAGAACAGTGGCATGTTATACATAAGAAACAAAATATACTACGGAAGTTATTTGAGTTTACTGGGAGTTTTTAGATTTTGATTTGTATTTTTACATACTAAAGATATACGTACCCTCATGATGTTCTTTATTTCTTAAATAGGCACTGACACGTCCGAAGGAGCCATTTTTTTTTTTTTAAAACGTCTGCCGATTTTCGGGCATTACCCTCCAAATTTGAAACTTAAAAATTCAATATCTTAAAAAAATAAAAGTTTAAATGCCGAGTTTGTGATTCCCGCGCTCTTCGCGCGAGTGCAGTGACGTCACATATTGATCCGCCACGCGAGTTGCCGTTTCTCTGATGCCTCCGATCCGAACCGCCGCCACTTGGTGTCGTGTTCGCCGGCGTCCCGTGAACAGCCGTCTGCTAGCAGACGTCGCTTCACTTTCGAGTTTGAAGTTCTTTTCGAACCCTTTTACCGCTCTCAAATCCTTTGAAACGGTTCGAGGTCGTAGAGAACGCGCAGTAAACTTTTGTGAGCGACGTGAGGAGCCACGTCGTGCCGTTGCGGCGTTAAAGGCCGCCCCGGCGGAATCACAACTGAAATCACGGTGCACAGATACCAAACCCAGTTGTCTTGACCGTTTGACGATTTTCTTTTTGAAGTCTCGGAGGTCGTCAAGTACCTAAAAAAGACAACTTCGTTTGATCCCTCAACTCACCGATCATCCTCTGCTACATGCGTCGGGCGCCGCCACGTTTTCCGAGCCAGGATGAAAAGCCAGGCGACGACATTCGATTTTCGGTATTTAAAAAAAAAAGGGCCATAGTGCGTTCGCAATTGCGTTAAAAGCTTGTTTTACGAATGCCGCTATTAAATGTTATAAAAATGTCGTTTACAAAGCTTCTGAATGTCATAATATTTTACGTTACAAATTAAAAGAAGCGAGGAGGTGAGGAGCGAGAGAGATAAACGCCTAAAATAAAAAGGCGTGCGCGCGGGGGAACTTTCTTTTCGTGTTTCGGTATCTTTTTTATTCTGTATGACTACAACTTGCACCGTTTTAGACATAAAAAATCACCTTTGGGCTGTTACTGCCCCTTTAAGAGACGAACGCCAACGTTTCCTTCAAAACTTGAAAACATTTCACAGGAACACTTCATTTTAGATTTCTGCTATCGGCATTTAGTTGGGAGGCTTCCTGGCACAATATGCACCCGTGCAAAAAAGAAAATCCAACATTGCAAGAAAAATGAGCTGCTAACCTTCAAATAATATTTTCAGGACTCTTCTGTGACCTGCTACTGTTAGGAAGCGCTGCAAGGTCGGAACCGCCAAGTCCTTGCAAAGAAAAGTTCGAAAAATATTGCAAAGGTGACCAGATTGAAGTTTACACTTATGATTGTGGGACCGAAGAAAAATAAACTGCCTAAAGTTGCACGTAAGGAATAATGAAAATTCTTCGCATTGCGATTATCCTTGATATAAAAGAATATGGAGAAAATATTCTCTTTCCAAGACGTTGACTCCGCGTCATCAAACACACTACACAAACATGCATACAATTAAACGAACATATATCTGTTCCGCTTCGCTCATTGTTGAATTTTGGGAAGGACCACGGTTCAAGATATTTGTATATAGGTGATGGCACACAACACGGCGAAAGCTGCGATGCGATCGGCCAGATAAAGTCCTATCGGTGCGCGCCCGAGTAGCCTCAACCGACAGCGTCTCCACCGTCCAACGAGCGCAACTAAAAAAAAAAAGTGTTTGTTTGCATGGGGCTTGGGCGCACGTTCTTTCCCCTGTGTTTGGCTGGGAGCGTCTGCTGGTAGCTTGGTGGACGCTGGCTTGAACACCGCGTGAGAGGTCTCTCCGCTTCAACGCCTTCATTAAGATTTTATTGCCGCCGTTGAGGCACGAAACTACGGTCAATGAGGAAGTAGTGTCTAAGAAACGCGCGTACTGCAAGTGTCAACTTCTAAATGACGTGGCGGAGCCAGAAACGTCTTTAGATACGAACATGTTTCTAATAGAAAAGCCTTGAAAACCGGGCCCGTGACCAGCTGCCATTCACCTCAATGCCACTTGTAAAGGTGATCGCAACTTTCGCGCGCAGCCGAGACGGCGTCTTGTTTTAGTTTATCGGTATTTTGTGGTAATGTGTGGCGATCCGTTTTGCTTGAGTGCTTACGTTTCTTAACCTCTTCCTTCTAACACGAGCGAAGCTGTATATCTCCCATGGCGGGTCATTGCCCGGGGGTCTTTCCTCTCACCCAGGGACAGGGGCATCGAGAGACAAATCTGCGCGGGCACTCGGGGCCCCGAAGTGCTGCTGTCAGCGGCTGGCGCGCCAATTCGTAAACTGGGACGAGTCTTGAGCTCGAACGCATTCGTCGAAAACCTCGGGTCAGGTTCCAGTGATTGTGACACTGACTAGACACTCGCACTTTGCAACTGCACACTTAAATGTCAACACCTATGTTCGTGTTAAGAGGGTGTTTTTTCCGAGCTCACACCCTTAATAAACCATTGTTAGACGAAGTTTGAACATTGAAGGATATACGGAAAGGCCTACACCATTCGTACATTCTTTTTACATCCTGCGGTACCGAAATTTTGTTAAAAGGGTGTTGCGGTGGTATACCCATGATTTTTAAGTCGTCAAAATCGAAAAACCACAAATATTCCAGTTAAACGCTCTGATGGCAATAGTCAAGAGGATGTTCGGTCAATGTGGCGGATTTCGTGAAGTTCACGTAAACATAATGGGCAGCTGATATCGAACCTAAGCCAACGCTCAAGCGGTTCTCAAGCCAGATGAGTGCGTAAGTTGTGTACACACCGCAGGGGTGCATGCCTGTAAAAGCAGGTGTTTGGAGAGTGGCGTCTCCACGGATCCCGAGCTCCGCAGGGGGCGCCTACACCTTAGGTGCTAGGTGCTTGGTGAGTAGCGTCACCACGGACCCCAGCCACGTGGGCCACCATACCCGAACGCAGGGGGCGCCTACTTTATAGTGGGTGCTTGGTGAGTGGCGTCACTACGAACACCGAGCCATGTGGGTTCGCCCACCCGCGTCTGGCTGTGCGTGGCTTAACCCGTGTCCGGGGAAAAGTGGACCCTGATGGTTGAGCTGAGCCTGGGGTGTGTTTGGACCCTTCGGGGCCCCCCGGGTGAGGCAATATACCGCTTCGGCCCCTGCTTCTCGTAGACGGGTGTCCTGGCTTGGCCCGACCAGGATGGTTCAGCCAGTCGCCTCTTCTTCCCTATTCTTCCTTCTTTCACTTTTCCTCCCACCTCTTTCTCTTTTCTTCTAGACTCTCTTCCTTTTTCACCTTCTTAGGCGGCAAGGGCCAATCTTGAGTGGAAACAGGTCCTGTCCCTGCAACCACACTAGGGTATAGTGCCCGGGCAGCACTGGTAGCGTAATTGCTAGCATTCTCGATCATCCGCACCGGTGCTCACCGGGGCACTGAGGTGCGCCCCTTCATCTTCGATCAAGTGCACCGGTGCGCACCGGACGTCCTCGATCAACGAAGCGCACCCTCCCGGTGCGGCTTTTCGTTGCCCCAACTCTACCCCAACGCGCACCAAGAAAATCGGTGGTGCGCCGGGGGCAGTCCCATCAGGCATTGCGGCCAGGAGCGGGAATCGAGAAGATGGCGGGAGTAGCAGACGCGCAGACTATAGAGATGGCAATCTTGCAAAAACGAACACGCCTCGCAGCTGCACTAGATGATTTCCTTGAGTCTTCTGACGGCGAGACGACGAGCTTCCCACCATCGCCGCGATTACTGGCGATTTCTGCGGTGGCAAGGAGCGCCCGAAAAGCACGAACTTCGTGGAAAGCGGCGCGAGGCGTTTCGATGACAGCGAGGTACGGCTATTATCTGGTGTTTCGTTTTCTTGAACCAATAATGATGGCCAACATATACATGTGGAATTGTCATGCACTTCGTGACCCCATCGACAGTCACGTCCACGATGTTTATTTCTGTGGGACCGTCAAATCCGCGAGTAAAAAAATAGAAGAAATTGACAACAGACGGGCACCGTGCGCTCACCTACGCAAGAAAAAACGAACAAAACGCGAAGTGACGCAAGGTGGAGCTCGCCGCGGTGCACCGGCGCGGCGCAGTTTGTCCTCGATGTTGCACCGACATCGCGCTGCACGACCGAGGAGCGCTGTGCACTGTGCTGGTTTCAGGGCGATTCCGGTGCGAGTTGATCGAAGATGCTGTGTCAGCCAAGCCTTTCTTCCTATGGCACATTACCTACCCCCTCGTTGGGCTCCGTGGTGGGCGGTGCACCCGGGCACTGAACTTCCTTTCCCATCTATATGGGTTCAAGCACAACAAGATCTCCGATCGGTCCCTGAAAAGGGTCTGCACCGAAGCTCTGTCCAATTTCCCTAGTATAAATGACTCAACAGGCCACTTTACAAAATTCTTTGTCTTGCACTCTAAAGAAAACTCCAAACCACTCTCTAAGCTTGCTCCATTCATTGTTGCTAAGGTGCTTCAAGGCATCTCGGGAGCTAAATTAAAAGCAAGAAAGCTCTTTTCAGGCGATCTCCTCGTACATATGAATGAAAAAACAGCAAGCTACGGCCTTACTCAACCTCGAAACCATCCAAGATATCAAGGTCACCGTGTCCGCCCATCGTACACTGAACACCGTACGCGGTGTGATATCAGAGGATGACGTAATGGACAGTCCTGAGAACGAAATTCTGGAGGGCCTTCAATCCCAAGGGGTTGTGGCTGCAAAACGCATTGATATCCGAAGGGACGGCAAGGAACAACCCACCAAGCACGTTGCATCGACTTTCGAAAGGAACATTTTGCCATCTTCTGTTAAGGCCGGTTACACCAACTGTAAGGTGCTGCCCTACGTCCCAAATCCCCTTCGCTGCTTTCGTTGCCAGCGGTATGGACATGCTTCGCGCACTTGCAGCGGTCGCGAGATATGCGCCAGGTGTAGCGGCACCGAGCACACTGCTGACGACTGCAACGCAGATTCCAAATGTGTAAATTGCAATGGCAACCACCCTGCCTATTCCAGAACATGTGACGAATTTAAAAAAAAAAAATCTCGCGCTTAAGGTGAAAGAAAACATATCGTTTCATGATGCAAAGCGTCGCCTCTCCGCTTTTCAGAGCGGCTCTTATGCCGAGGCGGTGTCCAGCAGAGGACCTGCACCGCGTAAGGTATCAGTGGCGACCCAGGTCTCCCTTGGGAACCCTGGGAAACCACTCCAGTCCTCGACACACAGGTTCAAGCTCTCTCTTCCTGGGCACTCCCACACGGCTGCGACAGTAGCTAAGGCACCCAGTCATGCCAAAGACTCGGGTGCAACAGAGGCGATGGGTGTAACTCCATCGCCCACTCCTCGCAGGTCGTCCTCCCCAAAGGAGCGAGCCCCCCGCTTCTCCTCTCAGAGGAGGAGTTCCTCACCAAGGAAACAGCACATTCCACGTGCAACTCCTGCAGCGTCTGCAGAACCTGACCAGAGAGGCGGATCAGTGGTTCGGCCTAGCACGTCGACCCCTCACCCTAAAGTGTTAGGCAAAGTTCGGGGTCTGCCCCCCAAAAACAGCGACTATTCGAGCTTTTCTGACAGGCTTGCTGACAAGAAGACGTCGAATACAGAAGCAACGGCAGACGGTGAAGAAGTTTCTGCCCCTGACACTGACTTCGAGGAGATGGAGGTTCAGACCCCAAAACAAAAAGCTAAAAAGCCAGTAACTCCACCCAGAGAAAACACTATAGGAGCAACGCTTTTTATACTCCTACATAACCACAGCAACAATTTATGACTGACTCCCTAATGCAGTTAAGATAGCTAAGAGCCATTATTAGCTCGGTTAATCTTATGAGCATCATACAGTGCAATTGTCGAAAACTACTCTGTAACTACGATGATGTCTACAATTTGTTGAAGGAACACAACTCCATAGCTCTTTGCCTTCAGGAGACGTACCTGAAAGAAAGCCGCTCAAACTTACTAAAGCGCTACCAACTATTCCGGGACGATAGGTCATATGGATCCCACGCTTCTGGTGGCGTTGTCATAACAGTCCAAAGATTAACTTCTTGTGTTGAGGAGCGCCGGGACACCGAACTGGAGTCAGTTGCTGCAAAAATTTTAACTGATCGTGCAATAAATATATCGTTATATATACCTCCTAATTATTCAATGAAATATAAAAAACTAGAAGCCCTTGTTAGACAACTTCCACGTCCATTTCTTATCCTCGGTGACCTAAATGCCCACAATCCCTTGTGGGGAAGTAACAGACGGGACACGCGGGCAGTAATAATAGTACGATTCCTGCTCTCATCAGATTTATGCTTGATGAATAAAATGAACCCACTCACTACAAGTTTTCGTTAGACACTTTTACATGTATTGATCTT